AATCCTTAGGGCAATTCACTACACTTAGCAATCCAGTACTGGTAAGAATTCTTAAAAAGCCAATATGCAACCACTGTTGTTCTGACGATATCTTTTATACTACAGTTGTAAAACAATACTTTATTGTAATGTGCCTTGCTATTCTAATGCGTATTCCTTAAGCAACTTTCAATAAAGTAATATTGAATACTAAGGTAAAGATAAGATATACAAGAATGCTTTTTAATATTTTACCAAAAAATCACACTTTTAAATGAATGGTGATGTTCACTACATATTAATTAAGTCATAAATGAATACCTCCCTCTAAATACATAGTTTGCTTAATATAGTTTTAAATCAGGCCAAGTATAAGTTACATAGACAATTCTATTCGGAGTAATTTTTCCATATATCATTTCCATACACACCTGTCAATACAATAGCAGCGACTCAAGAAAAATGATTCATTAGCCACTTATAACTTCTTGTCTCATGTAATTTATCTTTATAATTTTAAATTACTAAAGAATCCCAAGGATCTTTTCTTACTCAAGTATTTTGAAATGATCCATATTTTATTAAGTTTCAAGAATAACCCCCCCCAACACACATACCCACACACTCGAAATTAAGTAACTATTAAAATTAGTGTCATAATTCATATATCCATAAGGGGGAAAAACTAATTCTAAAGTAGAAAGTTACATCCAGCAAACCATTCATCCTTTTTCACCTGTTACACACCTGATGCTTATAAAGAGTTGAAGCTGTTTTAATTTCCTGAAACAAGGGAACACACCACTTTTGGGTTTTCATTGTTCAGTCTGTCTTTTTTAACTTATGTGTCCCCTTCCAGCTTTAATATTTATATATATAAAAGGCACGAGTATTCTTCAAGTTGTTATGGTAATTTCCTACATCGTTCCCAAAATAAAAACTTGATTTAGCCAAATATTAAATTATTGAAATTATAAATCTGTTAATCTACAGCACATTTTACTCATTTGTGTAATTTTAAAGTTCACTTCCATTTGACTGACTGTTTTAATCCTTCTTAACTAGTAAGTGAAAATAACGGTGCATTCCTAATACCATAAATATGAAAAATAGAAAGTACTTAGGGACTACAGGGGAATCTATTGAAATCAGTCTGTTTTCTGGTTAACATACTCTCATTCTGTTTGTGTACTAACCCACTGCATTGAGAAGACAGATCTCAAATTCACGGCCTCACAAAGACATCGTCCTGATTTCATGTTTTGACAGCAGAAATTGGCCCAGATCTCTAACCATTTCCCCTACAGGACCCTGGCTGGCTGGTGACATCCAGGTGCTGCAGAGTCTGATGAGGGGAACATCGCGTCAAATTCCACTCATCTGTCAGTGTAGTGGATTATTTCTTGAGAGACTGAAATTGGCTGCTTGGGATGGGAACACCATCAATCTTACTGTGTAGGGGATGGCAAAGCTGCCCGTAAGAAGCTGGCAAGAGGGGGGCCAGCCGTTCCTAAGCAGGTGAGGAGGCAGCTGTAAAGCCTTCACTCTCCCCCCATTCGGGGCTCTGAGGGAAAGATTTGTCATTTTTCACATTTCCCGGGTACTTGGTATGCATGCAGTGTCCGCTTGTTCCTGCTTTATGGAAGAGGCGATTTTTCAAGCTTAGGCAAATGTGGCAAAGCTCAGGATCTGCCTGGTGTCCCATTTTTTCTCATCATGTCACTTGTTTTAACTGATTTGAGAAAATGAGATTATGTTTTTCCTTTTTGCTCATTTATCCAGCTATTTATTTATTTATTTGCTCATTTAGGGGTGGATTGTCACAGATAACTGGCCCTGATTTCTCTCTTGTTTTCATACACATTTCATTAGTGTCCCTGAAGATTTAAGACCCACAAAGGGAAACATCACAACTCTCATAAAAAAAAGCATACATTTACTCTTAAAAATCAAAACAGATTGTATTAAAGGAGATTGCATTTCTGACTGAAATAAGCTAGAATATTGCTGTGTCCAAGATCTATCGCTTTAATCTTTGCAGCTATTGTTGAAAACCCAAGAAAGTTGAATAAACCTATTATATAGAACCATTGGACTTTCAGTTTGATATCATTTTAATCTTTCTGCATTTAGAAAGGAGTATATATAGTTTCTTAATTTCATCAATGAATCGGTAACAGATCTCAAATGTATAAGCACTTGGGGCTGAAATTGGGTTCGGTGCTACAGTTTCTTGGGGTATCTGACATACAGATCAACCATGCATTGGTGATAATAAGCAATTTCTAGCAGTAGACGGTGGAGAAAACAAATACTGAATTCAATTTTAGTCAGAACTTAACGACGTGTTTCTGAGCTTGAAATTATAATATTTTGATAACAAGCCCCATAAAGATTTGAGTTTACTTAATACAAATATCATAACCATAACCCCCGACCAAAAAAACTCCTGTATTAACTGATTAACAGAGATAGTCCAAGTAAAAACTCACCGCAAAGTGCACTCTATTTCATGACTATACACATCGAGCGTAAAAGACAGGCAGTGGTTGGTAATATATTCTAGCCAGGTATCTCATAGTTTAAAAAGAAAAACACACGAGATTAAAACAAGGTTTTGTTCTATGTGGATTGTTAGCTGTGTGAACAGCAAAACTTTACTCATTCAGCACCTCTAACATGTACTTTTGTAGTCTATTAAGAGATGTCAGAGTTATTGATATTTATGAGGAACTTCACAGTTTACAAAGCACTGTCACAAAAAAATTATTTTACTTACACCCCCACAATATCTTTAAATGGGAAATTGGGCCCAGAGAAGAAAAGTGACTTTCCCAAGGTCAAAACACTTCAGGTTAAGTAACAGAGATGAGTGCTAGTCCTGAGCACTGCCATCGCCACCGGCCACCCCTCACCAAGTTCAGCCAAGGTCACCTTTCATAAGGGGTTTGAATCCGTGCATTGACATAATTTGGAAGTTTTCACAAATTATGGGAAACGGCTCACACCCCTCAAAGAGGCTACTCGGCGTGATTATTCTGTGCCCTGGGAGATACATCCCCTCCTTGGGAAACAGGCCAGGGAGGTGACATCAGACCGACCCGACTTCTAATGGCAGTTACTGGCTGTGTGGTCTCACACAAGTCACCCGATCCCTCAGAACTTCAGTCTCCTGGGCAACAGAAGGATTGGGGGCGGTGCGCGTGGTGCGAGGGGTAGGGGCGATTACACCTACTTGTATACGGATTAAGACAACGTGAGTGTGCCGAAAACCCTCACAATAGTTATTTTTGTTACGAATTCTTACTGTTAAGTATGACAATGAATGCAAATTTCCCGCATTATTTGTATGACTGTAACAAATCAGACGTTTTTGCCTGAACCGATTGGTAATTAACTGATTGGAGGTAAACCGAAGATTCCAAAACCCACGTTTGTTCTTCCTTCACCTTGGCACCGATGCCTCAGAGTCTGGCGGTACCCGCTCGCGGCTGAGGACCCACGAGGCAGAAATACAAGCGCTCGGCAGGGGCGGCGGAGCGGTTTCCAAGCCTACCTGCAGGGGCACCAGCGCCGCCCTCGTCTTCCCTCCGCGACCCAGGGCGTGGGGAGTGAGGGTGGCTGGGGCCCTGACGCAGCCCTCGGCTGAGGCCACCCCGACCCCCCCTCCCGCACCCACCCCCTCCCCCTCTCCAGTCCTCGGGGGGTGGCCCGGTTTCCTGCAGAGAACCTGCTCGGGCGCTCCCCGGCAGCCGGGTGCTTGCGCTCAGCAGGACCCCGGGCTGCACCCTTGCTCTTTCCGTCCAGCCCGCAGCCTGGAGGCAGAGCCCGGGGAGGCAGCACGCAGCGCCCCGGGAGGTGTTGCTGGAAGATTGTGCCGACAAGCCCAGGACTGGCGCCCAGGCCGATTGCGGAGCCAGAGAAAGGCAAAGGCGTGGACGCTGGACCGCGCAGCTGGAGCCAGCCGAACGGATGGGAGGAGGCCAGGAAAGAATCTGGAGAGGGGATGGAGGGCGGGGAGCACTTCCGACCTGAAGATCTGGAGCTTGGCGCGCAACTAGTCCCCTGGGCCCGGACTTGGCGATGGGGGAGGAGGGCTTAGGGGGAGGGCGGAGTAAACGAGTGCAAAGGTTGAAACTAAACAGAATGGGGAAGGAAATCTTTTCAGAGACCGGGTGAGGGTAAGGACAATCGAGCTGGGGGACAGTAATGAGAAAGGCAAAGAAGGAGAAAAAAAAAAAAAAAATCCAGACGGAAGAATGAGGCCATGGAAGGGTAAGAAATATACTTTAAACAAAAAGACGAAGAAAGCAAAATGCGTCCGGAAATCAAAAATTCAATATAGGAGGAAAAATCAGGCTAAAGGGAACTTGTTCCTGAAAGTGCCAAGAAAGAGAAAGAGAAAAATATCACCGTAAAAACTGGAAGAACAGAAAGTGAAGGAAGGGAGAAAGGAGAGGAGACAAATTAAAGCAGACAAGAAATAGTAAGTTATTTTTAAATTTCTTTTTCATTAACTACTTCCAAAGTTAATTTCGGCACTAACATCTCCACAAAAATTCTTAGCCACGCACACACCGAGATTATAGTATCCACACTAGATAGGATATCCCAGCGGTATACATACCCATTATTTTATTTTGCAAAGATCATATTTTGCCTCTCTAAGAAATCAAGCCTTGCAGGTTATCCCACCTTCTGCAGAGTATTTTGCTATTGGCCAAAGTATCCAAAAACCAAGGACTTCACTTTTTTAAGGTGTGAGGAAGGGGGTAGGGAGACTCTTAGAGAAAATCGTGTTTTGTTTTTTATTTTTTTCCTGAGAAATTCACAGAAACACCTCTAGGGCATTTTAGTATCCCCCTCACCTTTTGCCAAAGCATCCAGCCAACAATATGTGTCTTGGAATTCAGAGGCAAGCTGCCCGCACTATGTAGTACTTTCTGTCGCTTACATTCAACCATCTGTTAAGGTGACAGCAGTGAGACTGGAGGCTGCTGAGGAGCCAGCTCCCGACTTACCTGGTCTGTGCAGGTGGTGCTGCTGGAAAGTGTGCTGAAGGGATCCATGGCATAGAAGCACTGCACAAGCACTTATCCACAAATACAGGACCCAGGACATCGCAGAGACCATTGCCATTCTCTAAAGAGAACATGAGACAGCAAGGATTACCCCCAGCTTCAAGCCCCCAGCTCAGTCAGTCCCACTGATGAGAGAAGGAGGGTCTCAGACGTCATGTCCCCTTTGCTACTTTGCTGGCTGAAATTAATAACCCAGCAGAGGTCATGCCATGAAGTGGAACTGAGGGAAAGCCTTCCCCAAGAGATCGTGAATTCTTTTTGAAATTCTGCAAAGCCAAATGCCAAGGACTGCCAGACACATAAATAAATTAAAGTTTGTGACTATCAGTTAGGCAGATTGAAGCACCGTATCCTGACTTTACATCCTGTTTTTTACAATGATCTTTAAACTATAGTTATTCCAGGCACTGAAAAGCTGCATACTCCTGTTCATTCTAACTTCATTGTAAGTCTGACATAAGCCTGAAAGGAAAGAGTGGATTCTTTTTTTTTTTTAATTCTACAGTCATGAATTTTTAATCATTCTGCTGTCTTCTAAACTAAGTAATCATTTCTCAGAGGCATGTTGTAATCTCCTGATAGAACTGGTCTTTTTTGGCTGGACTTAAAATCAGACGGAATTGTCTTCAGCCAGAATGAGTTTCAGATGCAAGATCTATGCGTCTATCCTAGAGCAAGCCATAATTTACAATATTGCTTTGCCTCCTGAGATCCCATTGTGGCATTTGTTGTATAGTGTTGATGAATATGCATACACAGGTGGTGTATGTATTTATGGATGAACATATATACCTTTTCTCAGGCGCTGAAACTTTGACAGTCTTATCTGCACCTATAAGGATCTTAGGAACTACAGAGGCTCAACTGCGCTACATATTGTCCAATTTCTCAAACAACACCTTATGCTGCATTTCATATTGCCAAATTAATCAAACTTGAAGCATTGTCCTTACTCAGCCAGTGATATGGAAGCATTTTCTATACAAGAATCCAGTTAAGTGTATTCTTTTCTCTTAGAGAGAGCTTTGGAACCCAGATTGTTCCTTTTAAACATTTTTCCACTGTCAAATTATACACTACAAGTATTTCGACTATACATTTAAATCTGCTAGTGACCTCCCAGTGTGGTTTCTTTATTCATGGAAATTGGCACTCTTTCAAAAACTGTGATGTTCAGAAAGCAGAAATATACATCGTGTGTGTGTGTGTGTGTGTGTGTGTGTGTGTGTGTGTGTATAAAGACATAATACAAGATAATTTATGGGCTTTAGGAGAGGGATGCAGTCTTTAAAAGGGGGCTAGGACTATAATAGACAAATGGTGACAACCATAATTAAGTGCAAAGTAGGAAAACATTATTTTCAACAGCATGGTGCCTTTCATGCCTCACTCTGTGATTCAGATGGACCATTCACTTTATAATTAGTTTCACTGCCCACTGTTTACTTTTGTACACAACAGATTTATCCTCATTGTCTTCAGAACTATCAGTATAACATAGATGCATTCTCTTCAGTAGAGATAAATAGCAACACCCCTTCTATGAATCTTGAAATGAATGCATTTAGGGGCCTTTTCAAAGTACCCTGCAAATTATAGAAAGACAAAATAGAGGTGACTGTGGCATGCATTGACTACTTGTGAATTTCAGTTAAAAATGCACTAGAAATTCATCTAAACTTTCAAAAAGCCTACCACAATCAAAACTTAACAGTTTTTCAATGACTCTGCTTTCTCTTGCTCATTTCTTCACCCCTGTAGCTTTTAGCACTTAAAAAGATTACTGTGACTTCACATTTGCAGTATTTTTCTTCTTCTTCCTTTTTTTATTTAACTTTCTTTAATTCTCAGCATCACTTCCAAGGTTCCTGCATATCACTCTCATTGCTCACTCTCCTACCAAGAGGTTGTCTCTATGTTAATAGGTGTTTTCCACCAAATAATGCATCCAGCCTTACATAGTTCTCTAGATATGACTGAATAGGTTACAAATCTGCTTTCTGAATCTTAAATCCTTAAAGAGGCTTCTTACCTGAAAAATCCAGCCAAGAGCAGAGTACTCTATTAGTGTTCATTGGAAAGCTCTAACACTTTCTAAAATCCATCTGTGCACAATTGGAGATTTTTTTTAAAAGAGCTTCCCAATAATCTTCTTTATCAGGATTAAAAAAAAATATATGTTTTTCTCTTCCAGTGCTATTTCCACAGTAAAGAAGACATCGGGTTCATTCAGACTGTATTGTCAGAAAAGGAGCCAAGGTTTGAGGGGTGGAAACCTTGTCATTTTCACCTTTAAATCATCTCCTCGCGTCACCTCTGCCTGATGAGACCTTTGAAGTGATCCTGATGAGAATCAGTTTACAGTTAATGACGGACCATCCCCAGTCCCGTGCATTGGGGCAGAGTAAGGCAGCAAAATGTAGGAGCAGGGCTGCTATACGGTGCTGTAAGTAGCAGTAGTCTGTTTCAATACATCCCTCCTCTGTAAAGTATCACATGTCTTAAAGTGACATTACCCTCTATTACAGCTACAGTGAATTGTAATGCCTGCCCACTAACTCTTCAGCAACTCACGCAGCACTTTAACACTATACTGTCTGGCGTGTTGTGTTAGAGCTTTCACTGATACCGTTCATTTGCCAAAAGAGTAAAGAGGGAAGGAGAAACAAAAGAAAAAAAACATTCTGCAAAATATTGATAGTGTTAATGGGTGTTAGGCTTCTTAACAGTAAATGCAAAAGTGAACTACAGGCCATTTCTTACCTCTTCATGTTCTTTGACCCAGTACTTTAACTGGGTAGGAGAGTGAGCAAAAATATTGTTAGGTTTATACAAATTTAAGTCTGTCGATTGTTTTGGCAGCTAAATCTGGGAATATGGCATACTTGGAATACAATATAGATGCTTATATGCATAAGCCCAATAAAAACCTTCTGAGGTTTTTGAACATGTTTAATAAATAGAAACATGTCATTTTCAGCATCGAAGACTGGGTTTTGACAAAGAAATATGCTCAAAGCGTTTTTTTTAAATCTCCCTCTCCCTCCAATAACATGCTGGGGTTATTGGTACTGGGGTAACTGAACATTTTGTTTCTAGTACTATGGTTTGGACACTCTCTTCTTTGGAAATAAGGTGTGATTGTATCCAAACATCAACGATGCACGTAAGGTGACCTAGTTTTCAATTATAGACTGCATGAACAGAAATACTTATTCAGTTATTTCATGAATTGCTTATAAAGCACCTACTATGTGCTAGATGCTTGGGGACAATTTGGAAATAAGGTGTGATTGTATCCAAACATCAACGATGCACGTAAGGTGACCTAGTTTTCACTTATAGACTGCATGAACAGAAATACTCATTCAGTTATTTCATGAATTGCTTATAAAGCACCTACTATGTGCTAGATGCTTGGGGACAAGGCAGAGAACAAGGTCGATGTGATCCCCACTGTCATAGGTCAGTCTTTCATATTTTTTTCAAAATCAAGGTGGTTCTCATGATTTTCCCTCCTCACAAACCTTTTGAAATGCCTCAGAATACCTCTGCCTTGCACGGGTGTTATAAAGAAGGATCGAAGGGGCACCTGGGTGTCTCAGTGGGTTGAGCCTCTGGCTCTTGGGGTAGGCTCAGGGTGGTGGGATCCAGCCCCACGTCAGACTCCACACTCAGAGGAGAGTCTGCTTTAAGATTCTCCCCTTCTGCCCCTCCCCCCTCAAAATAAATAAATCTTAAAAAAAAAAGAAAGAACGGTTGATGCCACTGTACAACTTTGGAAACCATCACCTTTTCTCATGTTAAAGAGAGTGAAAGAGTGAGAGCCCCTACGGATGGGTCAGTCTTCCCCACTGGTCTTTCACAGCGCACAATGCACACGTAACAACACCAAAGTTACAGTTAGTAGTGCATGTTTCATTTCTGTGGTTCGTTATTGTTGCGTTGGTGATACATACAGGAATTGTACACCGACTGTGCAGGATCAAGACACAAATAATAGCAGTGCAGCAGCTAATGTTTATTAAATCTTTACTATGAGTAGCACTACTCTATAGTATGTTGCTTATAAGGTATAATTTAATCCTTTTTTACTAACCCCATAAGATAAGTGTTATTATTCTTCATTTCATGGATGAGGAACCCCAGGGGGAACAGGGAGATTAAGAAACTTGCTCAAGGTAATACAGCTTATAAGTGATAGAGCAGGTTTCAAACTCCAATGATCTGGTGCAAGAGCCCATGTCTTACACACTCATATAAAATACTACATGGTTGGGCTGACTGGGTGGTTCAGTCGGTTAAGCGTCTGCTTTCGGCTGAGGTCATGATCCCAGGGTCCTGGGATCGAGCCCTGCATCAGGCTCCCTGCTCAGCAGGGAGTCTGCTTCTCCTTCTCCCTCTGCACCTCCCCCCCTCCCCCCCTCTCTCTCTCTCTCTCTCTCTCTCTCTCTCTCTCCTCTCTCTCTCACACTCCCTCTCTAAGAAATAAATACAATCTTCAAAAAAAATACTTCATGGTTAAAATAACCCCCCAAAAATAACCATTACATTTTCTCATTTCTTTACCATTAAGATAGTCTCAAAGAAGTATTATTCATTCATTCAAGAGGTATATATTGAGTACATTCCAGGCTTTTGAAATATAGAAGTGTGGAAGATAGTTTTTGCCCCATGAATTTTGGGGGGGAGGTTGTTTTTGCTATACTAATGTATGCAAACTAAAAGGAAGTTACTAATAAGGGCTGCCATTTTGAAAAAACTAACCATTATGTTCTTCCTTTCTAGGGATTAAATTAAAGCTAAACATAGTTACTTATCTACAAATTAATTCAATTTAATAAACTTGAAAGATGTACTAAAGGATTATGTTCAAGGCACTCAGATAAGCATGTTAATTTTTTTAAAAAGACTGGAAGAAAGACTTGCTCTTTCAGGCCTAAGTGACTTTCTATATATGTATGTGATGGAACAAGAATATCAACATAGTGCCTCGTTTTTCTTCCAAATACCTTGCAGTCCATTGTACTGCAGCCAATGACCATTTGTCCTAAATAATATAAGCATCAACAAATATTGGCATTTAAGGCAATTTAGTCTATTTAGTCTATCCCAATTATTTTGTGATAACGAACTACTATCACACTTTTCAAAGAAGTTGGCCTTTCCACCATCTGGCCATAGTAGGATTGTGTCTCCTGATTCCTTTATCATTGAGTGGGCCATAAAGTTCTGGCCAATGAAGTATCAGCAGAATTGATGGTGTCTTTTTGAGGCTGGAACATTTAATTGTTGAAGCAACACCCTCCTTTGTCTCCAGAACAGGGACTAGTCACACTATCAGCCTGGATCCTTGAATGATCACAGAGAAAACAGGCCCTCCCTTTTCCCTACCCGCCCATAATGGATATACACAGTGAATAAGAAATAATTTGTTCTTCAAGCAATTGAGATTTGGGAGCTATTTGTTATTGCAGCATAACCTAGTCTACTCTGACTGATGAAGATTTTAACTTACATTATCCAAGTATTAATTGAATGTTTATATTCTATACACTGCCCTAAGCTCTGAGGAGACAGCAGTATGCATATCAAACCAAGTTCCTGCTTTTTCAGAGCCCCTTGTAATGGAAATCCATTGGAGATTTTTTTAATCAGAGCAATGATAAACCCAAAGCATTGATTATTGCTGCTGGAATTCCTTTGGACTCTTATAAACCAGGAGTTCTAGACTGATCACCCATGTGGCCTATGGCTATGTCCTGCTCAGCCATTTTGTCATGCAGGCACAATATTTCAAAAGGCATTATTCCAGCACTATTGTTTTAGCCCATCTGGTTTCATTAATTCAAGATGCCTAAGCAGTTGGGTATTTGAATCATGATTCAAGCCAAACTCCTAAAGATAACACATTTCAAACACAGTATCTGTGTATATGCACATTTGTTTATGTGAGAAAGAGAAAAATTCTATTCATTAGAACTCAGCCCTATGGAGAAACCCACATTTGTTCCTAAGAAAAGCCCAGTGAAAATAACTGGGGGTAAAAGCCAAAACACTCAGAATGTTTAAATAGCCAAGAATATTCAGCAAATAATCCTGCATAATAAAAAAATGAGATAGAGAGATAGAGGATGTAACAAGGAGAAAACCAGGAAGGAGAAAGAAAATGGTAGGGGAGAGAGACAGAGATAGAAATACATTAGAGGCTCAGGAAGAGAAGGACCAAGAACAAATGTCAAAAGGGGATTTCTTGGTGGAAAACTATATCTTAGGGAGTGTGACTCTTCCCTGCCTCTCCAAATGATCATAAAAGTCTTAAGACAAAACCCTCACATATACTTTGTGTTATTAAGTTACCTGGGAAACCTGTTGAAGGGGCCAACTCCCCCATCCAGGCATAAAGTACCACAAGAAAATCCCTCATGTTCCTGATTACCACATTTCTCATTTCTTGGCATCAGAAATAAAAGCTATCAGGGGCACCTGGGTGGGTCAGTCAGTTAAGCATCTAACTTCAGTTCAGGTCAGGATCTGGGTCCTGGGATTGAGCCCCATGGAGCTCCAAGCTCAGCAGGGAGTCTGCTTCTCTGCCTCTCCCTCCGCCCCTCCCCCTACTCCTGCTCTCCCCCTCTCTTTCTCTCTCTTCCTCAAATAAAATCCTTTAAAAAAAAAAGCCATCTTATTTCAGCTTAAGACCAGTACACTTAATAATAATTTGGCTAATTTTAATTCACAAATATGCAGGAAAAAAATTCGAGAGATGCAACACTTTATGTCTATGCATATTTCTAAATTGAAAAACACCTAAAGGAATTTAAATAAATTACATCTGGACTAAGAAACATGCCAAGTTTCAATCCAATGCAAATTAAAGTGGCTTACATGTATACCATTTAAATCGTATTTCTTGAAATAACACATTTTGGTTGTGATTTCCCAACTCTGATGTTTTTTCTTGTTTCATTTCAATTGGTTAATGAAAATGGAGGCAAGGATGAAAGGATCATTGTCACAGCACCCACTCTCTAATCTATATGCCTCCTGTAGCACTGAAGGCCAATTTCTTTTTCTCTTTTTTCCTTTTTTTTTTTTTTTTGTAGTCACTGGGGCTACCTAGC